AGGGGGGGGGGGGGGGGTGCAAAATGAGAAAAAGGAAGGACGGAGGTGGTGTTTACGTATGAAAAGGGAGAAAAAATAATTAAAGCGACGCCGACGCCTCTCGACGTCCCTCGCATCTTTGGCGACCGTTCTGATGCATGATCGGTTTTCAGGGATTCAAATGTAACGGGTGGTCCGTATATCCGTATGTTGTATTTGCGATCAGGTTGGTACCTATGGACACGTGCGATACTATAGACGGTGTGAAGGAATGACAATAGCTCTTTTTGCTTTATATGGGCGAGTGTCTGGATAATTGAGCTGATTGGTGAGATTAATTTATAAATCGCTGTCAGACGCCGAGCGACGCCGACGCCTGTAATGGTCGCGAGCATCAAGATCTCAGAAATCGGGACTGCACGCGGCTTTAACGTCGGGTCTTGTATAACGATATTGGATTCTGGTGGTAATGCGACACGCGGACAAATTATGTCATAGAAAACCGCCAAAGAGAAACGCGGCTTGAGGTATAGCCGATATTGTTTACAAGAACACGTTATGAATCCTCGATTGGAAGAGTCAAAAGATTCTGATACGAGGTATGTTTACTTGTTTACCCGTTCACGTTATTATTGACAATAATATGTGAAAATTGAATTTTGTATTAAAAAAAAATTTAAGCGATACAAATCTCGAGAGAGAAATCAGAACGCGGAATAAGAGCCATTGGGTTCTAAAAGTAGCGAGAGAACCGGGTCCAGCATCCTGTTGCTCCATGAGAGGACCAGGGCAGGATTGGAATCAGGATCGTAGAACTCGGTAGGATTTATGAAGTGGACCTTAAAGATCTGGTCGTTTCGCATGGTGGGACCCACGGAGGACGTTGCGAGTTTCAGCGACGGTCGGGATCCATCTCCGGAGGAAGGTGTCCGATGGGAAGAAGCTGCGGAGTCAAGAAGTTGAATCGGGGGGTGGAGGGGGGTCCCCGCGATTCGAGCCCCTTCCCAAAATCTCCTAATGGCAATTAAATATCCTCTACGCTAATTGGCAATTACCACGGCGTCGGGTTTACTTTTTCAAGCTACCAGGTAGCCGACGTCCACCCAGTTATACCTGAAAGATCGGTCCCGAGTTAGGTTGCTCCCATATAGACGTAGGCTGTTATATATATGTATATACACAGCCAAGCACATATCCCGGTATACATAACGTAAGTGGTATTATAAGCACCAGCTACGGGACACAGAACGTGGACGGGACCAGGCAGCCTGGTGCAGCGTGGCGACCTGAGGGACCAGAGCCGAGGTTGAGAATCGAGGAGGCGAAGGAGGCGAAAGAGCCGAGGAGGCGAGGTGACGACAGCGAAAACTAGTTTATTTGGGACGCAGCTATAAATTAGGATCAGATCGCCACCAGATAAGGGCATCCCGCTAACACCCGGGCCTCGCCGACGACGTCTCGACGCACCCACCGTCGTACCCTCCCTAGGTCCCCCTCCACATACTCTGCCCTGCCACCATCCTAGACCTCGTCCTTCTCCACCGCCTCCTCCTGATCCTCCGACTCATCCACATTATTTCGTTCTTTTCGTTCGCGCCTGGACCCCTGGACCCTGTGACTTTCCGCTCTGGGATCCACGAGACGAGTCTCCGGAGCAGCTCGGGATTTGTTCGAGTTTACGAAAAAAATGGTTCGATCTCTTGGGGAAAGAGAGAGAAGGACCCGTTAAGGCGTTACGAGATTACCGATAAGGAACGGATTCCGTAAAAGGAAGTAAAGATTAAAAAAAAGGCATCTGGTCTAATCTGTGAGAATGACCTCGGGCCAGGTCTTGGGACTCGGTGAAACTCGACTGCTTGTCAATTACCATATTCAATGGTTGGCTGATGATCTTCTAACCTTAAAATTCAAAGATACCTCCAAGGTATCTGTACCTTAGGCAATCTCGTGGAGCAAAAGTGTTTAATTCTTCCGCAGGCTCTCCGGGGTCCTCTCGATTTTTCTCCTTTTTATCGCGAGGGCCTAACGGGCCTCGTACGTTTTTTTCATCCGGGTCTCTACCGGTGCCCCGAGGCTCGTGAGAGGAACGTGGTGGCCTGCTGGTTCTCGATCGGTGACTAGTGCGACAGGTCGAGGTGTGTCCAGAGTCGAGTAGTCGAAAGGGAAAGATGCTGAGAGTGGCCAGGCTGGCTCCGAGGGTAGAGAGGGACAGAGTACGCGAGGGACTCTGGGAGCGCAGAGAAGAGAAGGACTGCGTACTCTCGGGAGAATGAGACTGTGGAAGAGAGTGAGAGAGAGTGAGAGAGAGAGAGAGAGAGAGAGCCAGTGGTGATTCCATTCACTGATTGAAATCTCCGTCCATTTGTCACTGTCAAGGAGGTGGCGATAGCCTCTCTCCGCAGACTGCCCACACGCTACTCAATACCCAATGCTATTATTATTTCGACGCGGGACCGACTAACGACCAATCAACTCGCCGGATATTAATTCCTTATCGATTGTCCTAAGGTGTCCGAGTTCGCCGTGAAACTAGCGCGATCCCATACGGTGACGACCTCGAAAACGGATCGTGGATCCTGATCGTGCCGCGTGCAGGTACTGATTATTGTGTCACTACCAGTTTCTCAGAACAAAATTTCTATTAGGCGCTGGCGTAGAGTACGGACTCACCTTGAGATTTGGATGATCATCCTGACTACGACGATTGTCTCTTAGACGGGCGATACGAATCCACTGCCCATCGATTGAGATCTACAACAGAAGCACGAATGAGGATCAGTTCTGGTAGGTCTGACGTTGTTTACCATGAAATCGGTACGAAACGACAAAAACAGCAATCGAACTCACCCCTTGTAAAAGGGTTTGAAGGCCGTGGTGGCCTCCGTGGGTGGTAAACTGGCAGTGGTCTGCTGGTGCAGGATGGAGTTCTGCGTGACGGTCGAGAATTCCTTGTGCGGCGAATTCTGAAGTCTGGATGAGAATCCGTTGCTGGAACCGGAACTGGCCGACAGGTATCCGGCAGCCCCGTGATTGGCCGGATAGTGCGCGGAGTTACTATTGCTGCCGGTGTTGCTCCCACCAGGGATGTATCCCCCAGGAGGGCCCTGGATCACCCCGTTGGGGGTGGCTACCTTCATGTTCGGCGGCGTTTGGGGCGGAGTATCCGTCCCAACCTCGGGAAACCCCGCGGCCGCCGAGGACGCGTTCGACGATGATCCTGAGGAGTTTGGATTGTAATGGAGCTGACCGCCGGAAGAGGAGGACAGGAATCCTCCGTATCTTGTGGCGGCACTGGAGTAAGGCGCGGTGGCCGCTGCGGATGGACTCATCGAGGCCGAGGAGGGTAGGGCGAAGGAGCCGAGACTTCCGCCGCCCCCGCCAGAGCCCAGCCAGGGCTGCTGAGAGTGATGAGCTTGTCCGCTCGAGGTGGCGAGGTGATGCTGTTGCTGGGCGTAGTGCTGCTGGTGATGAAGATACTGCTGATGATGAGGATGAGATGGGGGCGGCGGCGTTTTACACGCTGCCGTGTCCGCGAGCGACCAGATCTTTGGCTTCGTCGCTGGTATCGGGACCCCGCCCGCACTGCAGTCCGACTTTATCCCTTCTTCCTTCAGGTGATCCTCGGCCCCGTAGCCCTGATGATGATGATGCTGCATGCCGTGATGAAAGGGATGCTCGCCTCTTCGTGGGTCCTCCTCCAGGTCCAGGTCGTCCTCGTCTTCCAGGTCCTTGTCGTGCTGGAGATGCTCGGCCTTCACGTGCCTCATTGACTCTGATAACAGAAGGACACAGTTGCCATTGAATTCACTGGGGACGCGTATCTCTGTATCTGGACAGCGGAGCGCGGATTTGACTCTGTCAGGAGCGGGACGAACCCTCGTTAATAATTAAATACGCATATGGCCGCGAAGAGGAGTTTGCGCATCCGCATGGCTATATTCACGTTAATGGTTTATAGTCCCTGGTGTGAGAAGTGAGACGTAGGACGCGTGTCATTGTGGGGTTCCAGCGTGGAGAGCTGTCAAGGGAAAGTTCGAGCGAGTGAGTGAGTGAGAGAGAGAGAGACAGTCGTACACGTAAATAGAGAGAGAGAGAGAGAGAGAGAGAGAGAGAGAGAGAGAGAGGGGAAAACCCGAAGAAAAGAAAGAGACCGGAGATAGGGTGAGATACCGAGTCTCCCTTACACCCTTATACAGTTAAGCTGTAAGGGATGCTGTGAAAAAAAAAAGAAGGAAGAAGGGAGCGAAGCCTGCAACCACTTTGGGGCGCGAGAGATTTCAGTTCCCCAGGGGTGGCAGCAGATCTGACTCCCTTCGGAGCATTCTCTCTCTCTCTCTCTCTCTCTCACCCTTTTGCACTCCGTCTCGCTCCAGCTCCCGATTCCGCGCAGCCCCACTTTCTAGCTTCCTCCCTTGCTCTCTCGCCCAGAGGCACTCCAGGACGTTCCGGCGGTCCGCCAGCCAACCAAGTAACCAAGTAAGCAGTCAGCTCAGCCCAGTCAGTCAGGGGTGAGAATTTCATTAAGAGGTTCGAATGAGTCGGCAGAGGGTTTACTTGATGGGTCGTCAAGCGATAATTCCCAAGCAGGAATTGGGGCTGCCGCCACGAAGAGTTTAGGTTTAGGGTGCCAGGGCACCCCTTATAAAGAGAACCTTATGGCCCAACTAAACAGATACTACCGCCAAGTCCACAAGTGGCTCTTTAACTTCTGACCCCTCCTTCATCACCCGTTAATCGTACCCTACACCCTAACCGATAATTTTATTTTTTTTTCCTTTTAAATTGGCAAATTTCACAATCATCCCGCGACCCCCCGATCGGCCCAACTTTCAGTTCACGCAAAGTGGATGCCCATGCGCGATACGTGGACGCGTGCACGCGCCCGCAGGTAGAGGCGAGCTACGAGCCGATATTGGCCAATGTGGTGTGGTAATGGTGGCCATAGGAGGGTCCGTACCATTCGTCTCGCCGCGGGCGCCGATACATCACCGTACCTCGAGCAGTGCTGTATCTATATATCTACGGTATATGGACCCGTGGACACGGTATATGCTTCTACGGATGGCTACTCGGCCCAGCCGCACCCTCCTCTGCCGACGACTGTGAACGTAGACCACGTATATATGTACGCGTAGCTATTCCACAGCGTGTGTATATATATATAAGCACGCGTGTACATAGGTGTACCTACTACCTATGGTCCATAGGAAGGAGTTAGGTACATAACCGAGTGGAGGAATATAGCTGCAACACGAAGGCGAGAGCTGAGCGCCCTCGTCCACCGGGGGGACCAAACCGAAGGCCATTAATCTCTTCGCGCGGCAACCCGCAACCCGTCACTGTGTTTACCCACATGTGAACCATTATGTCCGCCTCTGCAATAGCCGGGCAGATTCATTGCGAATTTCGAAGTTAGAATTCCACGAGGTGTGCTCGCTCCGGGTCTGTTCCGTATGGTGAACTCGTTAAGCAACGTTGGGAGATAAAGTAGCTATATATATATATATATATATATATACGTATAGAGGGTGTGACCTCAGAGAAGGACGTATCGGATGAGCGAGCTTACCATTGTCCTCGAGACCTCTTCTGGCGTCATCGCCGACCCTCTCGCCCCTGTCGTTTCCGGTCAACTCGTCCTTATCCTTATTGTCCTCGGAATCGGTCAGAACGGCGTCGTCGTCGTCGTCCGTCTTGTTCTTCGGCTCCCACGTCATCTTGTTCTCCTTCTTGAGACGTCTGCGCGCGTTAGCGAACCACGTGGAGACCTGGGTCAGGGTCATCTTGGTGATGATGGCCAGCATGATCTTCTCGCCCTTGGTGGGATAGGGATTCTTCTTGTGCTCGTTCAGCCACGCTTTCAGCGTCGCCGTCGACTCTCGCGTCGCGTTCTTGCGTCGCGCCGCCAGATCGTACCCGGCGCCGTATCTGAAACGATAAGAGGACTCCTTTGGAACATAGTCGAATCGATCGATCCGATTGGATCTTAATACTTGACACGGAGAGAGGTGTCCCGTCTGTGTTTATTTGGTATCCCCACCCAATCCGCAACCTGAAAAATCATCTCAGCCACTTTCTTCGGCTTCGAAGATCGAATCGAACGGCCTGCACGCCCACCTATCACTCTCTACAGGTGATTCGATGAACGATGATTCGAAATTTCAGTCGACCCTGAATCGCACGAGCAGGTATCGATTACATAATTTTTCGAAAAATCGATAAACTCAACCCCCGTTGTCCCAGCCGAAAAAAAAAAAATATCCGAAACCTTCGCAACATTTTTTCGGATCAAGACGATTCAAAAAAAAGATTCTTCACAACCCATCCAAACTTTACCTAGGTACCCTGAAACGCTCCCGGATCTCCGTTTCTCCGTGGCAATAGTGCTGGCGTTACGCACACGCCCCCTATGACCAAATCCGTACCCACCTCTGCGAGCCTAGTGGTCATCCCCTAGCTGACCTCCCCTGTACTACCCTCGTGCATTACTTCCTTCCTCCTACACGTATCTACCAGCTATAGGTCGATTCACGCGTTTCAGGGCCGTATCCGTCCTGGTCCCTTTGGTACCCCTTCGCGTCAATGCAAAAATTTCACATACTTCGATGCAACTCAGTACCGTCCGTACGAATGTCAACGCAAATCAATGGTCCAGGCACGGACGTTGATGGAAACGGATAAAGGACTGAAGACGAAAATTCAAAAATGAGTACAGTCCCATCCATGAAATAATTTTTCATTTCAGGCCACAAAAGTGCACGCTACGGATACGGCACTGAAATTTGTGAATCGGCCTTTATACACCCTCTCTCTCTCTCTCTCTCTCTCTCGCCCCCACTCTCGCGCACTTAATCGACCTGCTCCCTCTCTCGCCTAGGTGATATCCTACTGGGGCGAGGGTGATACGGCAAATATATACAGAGAATAAACCCCTCAGTGGCGATAGTAGCAACGGCGTGATTCCATCCAGTCTGCACTCACTCGCCGTAATGGCGATCGGATCGATCCCCCCCCCTCTCTTCACCCCCTCACCGCCACAACACCCCTTGAGTGTATTATACACAATAGGCTAAAATACCTATCAGCGATCCATTGGGTTACCGGATGGTGCACACCCCCACCCCTTCGACCGATATTTTTTATCGCGCTACATTTTTACCACTTAATCCCATCTCTGTATTGGCTAAATGGCAAAAAAAGTGTATCTTGGTGCTGGAGTGAATTTTGGTAATTTTCACGATTCTCATATAAAATATTCTCAGGTCCGACGATCATGGGTGGTTTTTAGGGAGAAAATTGCGTTACTCGTAAGGACTGCCCTTTTTTGTTGTTACGCTACTGCCTATGTTCACTGATGTCTATAAGGGAGATTCATTCGATTGCTCCTGCTGGTTCTTTCGCATCGATCAATCGCTCGGGAGACAATATCGACGCCCTTATGGGACGGAGGAGTTCAGAGCCGCGAGAAGAAGATGTTGCCTCCGAGAAAGTTTAGGCGGCAGCTGATGTCGCAGTTTCCGAATACGGATGGACCGAGGTTATCTACGAGAGGGGTAAACTTTGTGATTTACGGTTTACGCGATTAATTTAGAAAAAGAAATTGAAAAAAAAAATATACAGGCTGACTCGAATACTCGTAACGCGAATGTACGTATTTTATTGTATAATGCTTGGTAAACAAAAAAAAAAAAAGAAAAAAAAATTTGCCAAAATAGGAAAACGCGACCAGCCCGGGAAACCATTAAGCCGTAAGTGCGTGAGGCCATTTCGTGGGGCGAAATCGCTCGGAAAATGGTTATGTCTCGAGAAACGTTAAAACAGCGAAACGAACGGCGAAGCCAAACAATTGTACGTGTAGCTGGGTTTTCACGGTGCGAAAGGGTTGGACCATTCCGCAGCATCCTTCGGGGTGTCCGAGATTGTCGATGACTGGGCGCGCGAAGAAAGGGATGAGAGGTGGGCGAGGGAAGGGGAAAAAAAACGAAGAGAAAAAAAATGAGGGAAGAAAGGAGAAATCGAAGATGCCGGAACAGAGGGAGGAGGGGGTGGGAGGGAGGTAAATCTGGTTTGAGAATAGCGGAAAGGTTTAGGAGGTAGAGGAGGTTCGGTTAGGAGGGGCGGTTTTCACCCTCTATTAAACTCCCTTAAACAAGGGAAAGGCGGCCACGCGAGGCTCCTGTTCCTTCCCAATAAAACCAGAGAGGCAGCTCTTACCGCACTGAGAAACCGTGGTAGAGGGAAAGAGGGAGAGAGAGAGAGAAAGAAAAAAAAAGAGAGAATAGACCAAAAAAAAAGAAGATTCCAACCTCGAACGGCAAGTACGGAATTGATCGTCGCCATTGTGTTTCACCATGAGAATTATCCGCGAAAACCCCATAATAAAAGGAGAATCCCCCCCCATCCTCCCCCATACGCAGCAACATGGTAAAATTCGCACGTGAAATCGCGGCATCCTTTCCCTCTGCAATTCGCCGTCCGCATCGGACTGCATCGATCCAGAATGAAGCTATCGGCAATCACGTCCCTGTCTAAATTCCCCATATGTGCGTATGACTCTCGCGTGAAGAAAAAGTGAATAAACAAAAGGCCGCCTCTACCATTGCCAAAGAACGCGATGCTTCGCACGAAGCGAATCGAAAGGCCCATCAACGCGAACGCGCCTTCCTCGTAAGCATTTACCTCGTACGGTAAAGCAGATCCGCGGGATTTGCATGCGTCGTTATAAAAGGGAATATATACACGTACGAGTGTAATTTTTCTTAATTCGACCCCGAAGTCCCACACGCGTCCCGTGCAGCGTGCAGATAGCCGCGCCAGCCCCTCTAGTAACGCATGAGAATTTCCATGGAGATTCTCGGGGTCGCGTGTTTCGAGAGAAATCGGACGGACGAATCTGCGCCGATTACTGGCGCGCTCTATGGCCTCCCGTGTATACAGGTACCCTACATACGTACCTAAGTAGATACGTCCAGCGGTAGCAAGGCGCCAACCCGAGCCAAGTCTCACTCTGACAGTTTCTACTTTCTTCGGGCGGACAAAGCACTCGAAATCCGGTAGAGTCGTCCACGATCGAGTCGTTCGGTAGGTAAGAGCATTCAGAATCAGACTTGTCCCATCTCCTGTACCTATATGGACACTGTACAATCTCCAGCTACTCTCGCAATCTACGATCACATTCCATTCGTAAAGTTCGCCCCGGAAGGATATACACGTACACCCCGTCGGGCATACGCAGCTGCAGCTGAATGCATTTAATCGTATCGTCGAGTGGCAAACGGCAGAGCAGGTAGATATAGGGCAATAACGATAGGGGCCGTAACGCCGGAACGGGAGCTGCTCTCCAGCGACTCATTAGCGGGGGGGCTTTGCATATGGCGGCGTCAACCTCGAAAGGTTAACCAATATTGGCAGAACGCGCGTAATTACGTCCCCGTAGCTTCAATAGTTACGCCCGTCTCGTAGTGCAAACATATCTGGCTACGGGCTGCATGCACGGAGGCTACGCGTGTAGGCCAGGGACGCGGGGTACTAGATTGTGGGATAGACAGAGTCAGAGGGAGAGAGGGAGACAGACAGGACAGATAGACGAAAGCCTGAGAGAGACGACAGACGCGCCATCTGCATTATAAACTGCATTTCAAAGGTTCGCGCTGGAAAATAAGGCGACGCGCTTATGCGCTGATGCGAAATACCGCAAGATCGGAATTTCACTTATGGCGAGACGACTCTCGGCTCCTTTCACAGCCTCCACTGTCCGTCGGTGCTGATCTAGTCGGTGGGGATCCGATGGATGCTGCGGGGAGTCCGTGCTCGATGTGTATACTTGCCTTATCGCCATACGGGCTATATCTGCTATTGGGAGAGACTCGAAATCACAGCACGTAGGTTTCCATGAGGCTCCCATGGAGTCTATATATATTGTGTATATATATATATATATATATATTCGGATTCTCGTGAGATTAGCGTCGGCCGAGATAACGGACGTGAGTTACGGTCGGACGATCTTTAAAACTTCCTGGTGTATCTTTTTTCTTTCTCTTGGACGTCCATTTATTTTTATTCTCTGCCCGAAATTTAAGGGATGGATCTAACAGGCGATTGGCGTCTATATGGAACACGTGTACCGGGGTTACGTGGGATCTTGAAATATTTGGACGACTGCAGCCAAGGAAAGGATCGAGAGCACCTCTGGCGAGTTAACTTGCGGGAGGCTGTTTCCGAACTCTCACTTTCATCCCCATTTCGACACCCTCCGGCAGCACAGCGTGAGGCTACGATTTGATTCAGGCCCCAGGGCCGTATATTCCCATATGCAAGGGCGGGCGTGGGTGGACGTGGCGCGGGGTAGGGACTCTCTGGATGCCTGCCCGTGGCTCCTATAGGGGTTGCTGAAAGCGAAAGGGAAAGCGAAGGGTGGCGTTATGGACGGATAGTGGCGAGAGTGCAAGGGGCTGTCGTTTTGGGGTCGAGACGCGGCGCGCCGCGGCGCGTGAGCAAACGAAGGGGTTTCCGTTGAGAGATGGCGCTTTTATTGAATGGCTCGAGTGTTGCAAGGGGACGCCCTGGCCCTCCCCCCTTCGCCCCCGTGATACCGGGTGTCCCGAAAGTGTTCGCGCCCTTTGGCGATTTACTGCGGCCATTTTCACGGGGCCTTTAGCCCACCTCCCTTCTCTCTCTCTCTCTCTCTCTCTCTCTCTCTCTCGTACGACATTCCCCGACGGTCTTTTTCTCCCAAGATTTCTCGCTCTCTCGAAAGCCGGAAAGGTTGGCGAGAGACGAGCGAGAAAAAAAAAAATAGGCGCTACGAGCCACGAAACCTACTCTCGGCCTCTTTTAGGGTGAAACAGTGAGGTCTAAGTAAAAAAAAAAAAAAAAAAATTGAAGAAAAAAATTTTTAAGGGTCCCCGTAACGCGTTGCGTGAACGGAATAATTAAATTCCAGGAAACAAAATTTTTCATCCCTTATCAAACCTATAGCTATAGACGTACTATCACGATGTCCCTGTATAAATCTAAATACGTCGAATACACGTGAAACAGTCTCGTCGTCTAAGAAAATGAAATACGTCACGTCCCCCTCACCTATTCCCCCCCTCCTCCTTCCCCCCTCCACTCGACCACCCACGCAACTGCAGCGAGAAACAATGGCTGCACGTTCGAAGTGGCGCACATGCGAAGTGCGTAAAGGGTATGGTTGCTCGCATTATTAAGCAAGTAAATTAATAGCGGCTCGTAAAGGCTCAGTCGGGCCATAGGGTCGAGAGAGAGAGCGAGAGAGAGAAGGGCGGGCAACCCAGTGACTGGAGAGCAGAGGAGACACGTACAGTAAGGAGAGACTAGGTGAGGCTCCAAAAGAGACAGGGAAAGGGTTAACAGAGGGTGGATTCCATAATAAACAATGCCTACCCCTTAGCCTCATATATAGATATACACGCGTAGATAGATAGTACCGAGCGAAGCGCAGGAGTGTAGAGACACGAGGGTTGCTAAGCAAAGCAAGTAAAGCACCTGTGGGAGCTGACTGTACGAAGGGGCAAATAGGGGTGGGACTATGGAAAAGAGAGAGAGAGAGAGAGAGAGAGAGAGAGAGAGAGAGAGAGAGAGAGAGAGAGGATGCTCGGCGAGGGGCAAAGTGGAGTATCAGCAAGGAGAACAGAGAGAATAGAGAGGAGTAGAGAGTCGAGCTGGCGAACGGGCGAACGAGGCACAGTGAAGGCCCCGGGAGGAAGCCAATCAATAAACTCACTCACTCACTGCTGGAGAGAGAGAGAGAGAGAGAGAGAGAGACCTACTCGCACTGTAAATGTGCCTACCAAGCTAGTAGAGTGAACCGGTGAAGCCACCATTATGTACACCCACTCGCCTACAGCCATTTTGTACCAGAGTCGTCCTGCTGGCCCGATTCGATCCTCCGAAGGATTCGCCCTGACAAAGCCAGAACCAGAAGGGCTTTCGACGTGGCAGATTAAAATGGTCTATGGACGAAAGTTACGTGAATGGTGAGTCCGGGTTTAAATAATAATACATTTATCTCCCTGTACCGTCCGCGAGTTTTTTAAAGTTAAAAAATAGGGAATCTCCGCTATCCTGCCGGTATACCCATATAGGCACGTGTGTGTAAGTCCTCGAGCGAAGTGGATATATATACGTTTCCACCGACGCGCCGTACGAGCCGACGAGTACAAAAGGAACATCCGGAGCTTTTTACGCTATAGGAAGTGTACGGCTAGGAGCCCCGTGAGGGTGAAACGTTGAGGGACACTCGGGGCTGGGATTGGGAGGAGCGAAAGGACAGGGAATAGCTTTCCAAAAAGCGGCTAAGTTTAACCCATAGTCCCGGCTAATGACTAATGAGCCGCTCCGCTATCCGTAAATCCCTCTTTTCTCCGCCTGGAACGTGAGGCTGGGACAGCTGACAGCTCCCTTCGTATCTCGAGTGACTGGTCCTTATCTCTGAACGTGACCCTCTTGTTTTTTTTTCATTTTTCTTTTAGTACATTTTTTTTGTTTTTTTTTTTTCCCCTTGTCAAAGTACAAATTCGCCACGGCAATATACACGAGACTTCACGACGTAATGACGTAACGGGTGTTGAAACCGAAAAGGAAAAAAAAAAAAGAAAAAAAAACGCAAGAAGCAACTGTGCCCCACGAGAAATCAAACTAGGAGACCATACTCGTTAATGACCGGGGCGCGTAAATGAAAACTTACCCGTAGGCAGCCAGGGTCGGATCGTAAGGGTAGTAACCGGTAGCCGCCGGTTGAAGTGCAGCGGTGCCCCATGCCGCACCCATATCCGCCGTCATCCCCATCCCCGTGGCGTCCTTGAGCCCGTAAGGATTACCCTGAAAGATAAGAGAGGGGTGCATGAGTTATCACAGCAGGCAAGTGCACGTGTATATATATATATACACAGAACTAGATAAATCATCCCCATAACTATATATTACAAGGGGGGGGAAAAAAAATGAAATTCAAAGATAAAGATTGACTCGTGTCAAAATAGCATTAAAGTAGGAGGATACGAGACGAAGAAGTGATTCTCGAGCTAATTCCCAGGAGGGTTGCCAAAGCACGTGAAAGAAGTGGGGCTGTGGCAGAAGTGGGTATACATCCAAGACAAGAGGGATGAAGTGGCCCAAGGGGGGCAGCAGCAGAGAGGGACGAGTATTAGGTGGCTAATGGTAGCACAATGGGATATTATTAGTCCCGGCTTAGGTGAACCCGGCACAGGCTGCCGATGCTGGCGCCAGCGCGTTTCGTGTTTCAGCCATCGACGTCGCTCTTAATTCCTCCTACTTCTTTTTCGCCGCGTCTGATTTCTCCGAGGGTCTTAATACTTTCTCGCCGGACGCTCACGTAGTCTGGTCCAGGAGCATGCCGGGGACCAAGCTGAGGTCGCTGCTTTCCACGAGAGCGCCAGAGTCCTCCTGGTCCCGGAGCACCCTACGTCGCCAGTCCGCTCGGCCTTTAACGGCGAACTGCGGGTGGTCCTGCGTCACCTATTGTTACGAGCCTGAAGCCGGGTCCACATGGCCACACGTACATAATCGTGTTGTCGCCAGAGCCACGTACCTTTGCTCACTGGCTATACTCGATCGTATATATACATAGACCGGCGCGTATCGAGGCAATAAGCATCGGCCGTGTTCCTGGACGCTGCATAAAACGCATTAGGCACGAGGTACAGATCGCCCCCCCTATAACTTAACTTTGCTCCTGACCTGATGCGTCTAGTATACATATTATTATAACCCTATCCCAGTGATACCGACCCCTTCGGATCCGTCGGTTGTCGCCGATTGAAAACCACGAGGAGGCTGCCTCTCGATTAAATCCAGCGACAAGGTGACTATTCTCTTATCGAAGCAGCGGGCCGGGCCCGGACTAATTAAATAGGGACGGCCCTGGCGATTCGTTGGAGGACCTCAGGAGTCACCCTTAGCCTACTGGGAAAGCCTTGGACGGAGGCAATGTATATAACCATGCCCACCGATGTCCCGGCTGACGAATTAGCCCTTCTGCCGGTCGCGCGACAATTTAATTAACGCAGGGGCCGCGGAGAAGAGGGGTAGCAGGGTTGATGAAGTTTCGAGACCCACCAACCCCCTCTGTACTCCC